AATTTCACCTCTGACAATTGATATATACAAGGTTAGGACTGTATTTAGACTGAATTTAAAGAGACTCAAAGACGTCATTGATATAGGTCTCGGCATAGATCTTGGGTCCTTGAAACTTATACTGTATATATCATATATAGATTCTCAAACGCTGATTATCTAAAACATTTCCTCTCTTCCAACAGTAAATCTAGAATTTGACGTTATGGCCCTGGCAGTGCCCTTGACCCCAGGTTAGCGCTCAAGAGAAGGACATTCAAAGGTCACATGGAATCTATAAGACAATAGGATTTCAGAGGGATACCTAGTAGTATAGAGGCTATATAGAAACAACTACTCTGTCTTTCCTAGATCGTTCTCCTCTTTTCCACTTCCCGGAGCATTACGGGCATTGAGTTTCCCTCTCTATCGTAGACAGATCGACCGATTACCCTAAACCCCAGCTTCTCGTAGAGCGGCAGACCTGGTGTACTAGAAACCAGTCCCGCGGGGACTCCTTCCTCCTCAGAGCGGTCGATACCCCATTGTGCGAGACGTCGTCCAACGCCAGCTCCCTGGCACTTGGAAGAAACACCCAACCAAGTTAAGCCCCATCGTTCCTTAGGGTAGAGCTTCTCAGCTACTCCAGCTCCCGCGAGCAAGTCGTTAAGAGCTTCTGTGTTCACAAGGTTTGGGTCCGGTCTGCTGATGTAGGTTTCATACAAATGCTCCCATGTGGTCTTGATTCTCATAAGCTCTGTCAGGGAGTTCATTAGTACTTGTCTCAAGCATCAAATCTCAACAACTGCTTACGCTTGTCCCAAGTATCTCCTTGCCAGCTTTGCGCAAGATAGCTCGTTCCGTAACGAACCCATACTGCGAATCCCACAAACTCGCTTCTCTCACCGCCATCATCCCGGCGAGCAGCGAGTATAACAGCTCCTTTCTTCCCATATTCCTCGCGCAGATTGGAAGACCAAGTCTTCTGGAAGACTTCAGGATTCTGTTTGCGAGTTGGTAAAATGAGTGAATAAAGAAGGTCGTCGGCAAAAGAATCGCAGGCAAGATCGATGAGCTCGTAGACTTCTTCAAGGGAGCCGATGCGAACGATCTTGATAGATGGCTTGGAAGACTCCATCTTGCGCAAATGATAAACACGTTGATGGAGGTGAACAAAATTGCGCGTATGGAAAGACAGAATAGGCGTATATCGCCTTTGTAAAGTCTGAGAAATCAGTCAGTCACTTACTCCGATTGATGTGTTGATGAAATACCGTGAATCACTTACCGTCCGATGTTCCTCAACTCTCAGCAGGTTGAGGCGATTATGAAGATCCCGACTGGTGATGAAACGAAAAGCGCGACGCATAAGCTCAACAGTAAGGTACAGAGATTAGTGAAGCCCCTCAACTTAAATAAATGCGTGAGTGAGCTGAGAACCCTGATCCTGGTCAAAAATGGTGTCGTTAAGCTTTCGGGCCCTGGCAACTTTCCCCAAACAAGCCTGGTAATGGGATTTACGGGCCCCCGTATGACCTCTCTGAGTGGCTGCGTCGTAAAGATCTACAGCTCGCCGGCGAGATAGAGAATGATCACTATTGCCGTGTATTTGGCCGTCTCTACTCGACGTTTGATTTTTCGGTCTGTCCGCTTGACGAACGCCTTGGTCCTGCTGCGAATGGACATTATGGAAATGATGATTGAAAAAGGTGGTAGTTTAGTGGGATTGTACTTGAGGAAAAGGATACTCGAACAAGATGGAAAGTGAGGAATGTGGACACCTAAGAGAGTGATAGTTGAAGAAGATGGAACTTCAGGAAGATAGAGAATGGAATTATGGGTAGTTAGAAACCGTGGGCAGTGATTCACAAAGAAAATAAAAGAAAATTAGACAGCCGGGCAACTAGTCGAGCGTTCTTTGTGACACAAGGGGAGAGCACTGCTCGGCTGGAGCCTGACAACCTACTAATGGAAACCCATCAGTTTGCCAGCCGGCAGATCTTTTCTTAAGTAATATATGATTGTTATACTGGAATTGTTAACTATGTACAGCAAGCTAAGAGTGCTCTTTACTTTCTAATACGATGCTCATAGGGACTGATTCAACCTGTGCTGGTTTCTTTCGAAGATACGAACTTACGTCTTTCTTTGTTCTACATCTTGTTGATGTCACAACCCAATGCACCATCAACAAAGATCCAACAACAAGAGCAAGATTTTCTTCAGTAGGCTGAGTACCAATTACAAGATGTGCAGACACATACTATTTTGGAAGAAGATTCATTAATGATGTTATTGTACAGGACTCGAGAATTCCAACGAAAACACTTATCAGAGCTCGCTCTCGCGCTACAACACATCCCTCCAAATGTTCTCATCCGCCCGCCCAGTTACTACCTCTACCATCTAGATGACCTGATGCCAGATCCGTCTCTTTAATTCAGTCCTGAGACGAAGAAGTTGTAGCCCGAAAGGTTGAAGTTCAGCCCAACCAAGAAGTGCAGCCAGAGCTGGTCCAACCATTCAAGACACCCCGATTCTCATCTAGGAGATACAACATTGAACAACGACACGAAGCATACTTTCCGCGTCAAACGCAACGACGACAGAAGCTTCGGTAGGGACGATGTCTCATCTATCGTACCTCGATACGTCAGGATGCCGAGATAGTATCACGAAAGAAGCTGGTTTGAGTCTTTTACCGGAACAAAACAAGAGCAAAGTTAAGTGCACTTCTGAATAGCTTTCAAAACTAGAATCTAGCTTCTGTCATAGATTTGCTCGATATCGAATTTATCTTTGAGACAACGCGGTGCCCTGTTCAATGAGATCAATTCTTCTGTCTACACGACTACTACTGATTCATTGGGCCTTTTCACGATAGAGGCGTTTTTGAAACAACTCTTGTCTCTTTGTCGAGTTTACGCGCAAGTAGTCCGCCGAGATGAGCTTTGATACCGTATCCGCAAGCTGGCCAAGACATACTCAGTCACTACTACTGTTTACTAACCTGTCTTACAGACTACTTAAGTACCGAACCGGATTCAAGTCCATTCTACGCTATGAGTGTTGGCGCATTGGTCACTGTTACGATAACCCAGGCCGCCTAAGTTTTGACCGGATGAAGAGCCATTCTATCGCAAAATCCTCAGCACAGTCTTCCTTCAACAAGATCAAGGCTGTTTCTTCCCGTCCGAAACTCGATCACTACCAAGCCAGTGGTTCAGCAGCTTGGGCTTGCTTCTGCGTTTCAATCAAACGGAATCAGTATACGGGTTTTACAGACGGGCGGCCAGGTTAAACAGTCTTTAGACAGGGATAGATCTCAGTATCTCGGAAAGTTCCCTAGCTTCGCCTCTGCGTATTTTCTTAGTTAGGATATATTTCCGAGTAACATCGACGCCGGTTGCACTCACACAAGGGTCAATGCGGCAACACAAAAAGGGCCTTAATGCTTGTGAAATCTGAGTGGTTTGTGTGATCAACTTTTGGTCCATTTCTTTGTGAGATGCCAAGCAGTACAATTTGTCAAACTCAGCATCGAAGGTCGTAATAGCTTCCTGGACATAAAACACTCGATGCCATAGACGGCCGTCCTTTAGACTGCCTTCTTCGGGAAGGTGAGAGCAAAGGAAGGTAGAGCGGGCAGTTCCAAGGATGTCTTGATAAGTTATCGGAGAAATGACGATCTACGTCACATCGATAGTTGATGGTTGTTGAGTGTTGGACGCCCCCACTTTCGATCGCGATAACTACTGCCATTTACTATCAGCGATAGTCAAAACAGCCAATGAGCGTTTCGAACACCACCACGGTGCTACTTGCACCTTCTCGATCATGAAAACTTCCGAACAAGCACGTGGATCACTACCGACAACAAGATTCGATGATGACAATTCTTGTTTCTCCCACTGGTCACTGAGACCGTCACATCTCTACCTTTCTTGTTACCGCCCATGCCAGGGCCCAGTTGCACAAGGGTGCACGACCGGGGAACACCAACGGTGATGCAATAGACCGCATGGAACGTGTCTGACCTTGGTACGTTTGTTGGCTGTTGAGAATTTTCTCTATGGGAGTTTGCATGCTAACCGGCGCGGGGCATAGATGGTTATCGTTCAGCTTTAAAAGCGAGTCGAGACGAGACGGATACTTAAACGGTTTCAACATCTTCTCATCAGCGGTTTCAGCATACTCAATATGAAGACTGCAGCAGTACTTTACGCATGTGGCCTTCTGGCTACAGCTGTAACAGCTGAGTTTGATGGCAACTTGAACTATGCCAGTCCGTCTCGTCGTCATGCTCGACTTGGTATCGATGTTCCTCTGGTCAAGCGCCGTTCCATGAAGCGCGGCAATACTCCCTACGAAGCATCTCAGCTTAACTTCACCCACGGCGTCGCTTCTGGAGATCCCTGGCCCGAGAGCGTCATCCTATGGACCCGCGTTGCTCCGTCTCTTAAGTCCGACCCAAGCAACAAGACCGTGGATGGCACCGCTGGACTCTACAGCCACGAGACTGAAAAATACATCAAGGCCGACTCCCATCCCATTTGTGTGGACTGGGAGGTCAAGCCTTCTGATGGCGAGAAAGTGGTGTCCAGTGGCCGAGCCTATACAACATCTGATATCGATTATACTATTAAGGTAAGGTCCCTCAACATTGATCAGTTGAGCGTTACTGACAATCTCCCAGGTTGAAGCTGAAGGCTTGAAACCTCTAACGGAATACAGCTATCAATTTTCTATATGTGATTCCGAGAGAAAAAGCCCTGTCGGCCGTACCAAGACTGCTCCCACAGCAGATGATGACGTTTCCGAGTTGAGCTTTGCGGTTTTTTCTTGCAGTAACTATCGTGAGTAGCACTTTTCGCCTGAGTAGAAATTTATTTGAAATTCGCTGACCAGCCAAGCCAACGGTTACTTCAATGCTTATGGAAATGCGGCTAGAAAGGATGAACATGACTATGTCATTCACTTGGGAGATTATATCTACGAATATGGGGCTGATGGCGACAGAGCTAGTCAGCCCTCGGATGAAATCTTTACACTACACGACTACCGAACGCGCCACGGACAGGTACGATTCATTGAGACTGAAACTCATCAACATCGATCTCTAACGCACAGTATAGTACCGCACCGATCCAGATCTTCAGCTTTTGTCTAAAGACTTCGCTTGGATCCCAACTTGGGACGACCACGGTACGTTATGGAGCCTGACGAGAGAATCAATCTAATTTGATTACAGAGTTTGCCAACAACGGATACCGAGACGGGTTCTCCGGTCTTAACAATACTGAGGACTCTTTTAATAAAAAGGGAAAAGTCTCTGTCGATTCCCGAAAGGTCAACGCTGTACGAGCTTATTTCGAGTGGATGCCCATTCGGTATGTTTTATAAAGTCACAACTTGAAAAGCGAATGGATTTGCTAACGATCCAACTAGCCAGACTGACATGGACGATGGTCTCCGAGTATGGAGGTCTTTCAAGATGGGAAAGCTTCTTGATCTCATCATCCTCGATACAAGAAACTACGACCGCAGTATCACCTCACTTGACTGGAATGATGGATATATTGACATGATCAGAGATGATCCTAGCCGAACTCTCATGGGAAGTCGTCAAGAGAACTGGTTCTACAAATCTCTGAGCGAGTCCAAAGACCGAGGTGCTGCTTGGCGAATCATTGGCAACCAAATTATCTTCTCTAGAATAACCGAGAATTATGGTTCCGGTGAGATATTGTCAGGAGATAATTGGAGTGTGGGTTCCGAAACAGACCGTCTGCTATTGCTTCATAACTAACTTATCAGGGCTATGTCGCCAACCGAAACAGGACTCTCGAGCATCTGTACAGCAATGACATTAGCAACAACGTCTTTCTCGCGGGAGACAGCCATCAGAACTGGGTAAGTCTCCTGATGGTATTGATTACAGTCCGCTGATCTGTTCCAGGTGTCCGACCTCGTTTGGTTAGGAACCAAAGACTACGATAACAAAACAGGCGCTGGAAGCATTGGTGTTGAATTTGCTGGAACTGCTGTCAGCTCTAATGGCATCGATGGCCCTATCGAACCCGCAGCTGGAGATGCCGCTCGATCTAGAATTGAAAAGAACCCCGAGTTGCAGTGGCAAGAGGGATACTACCGTGGATACTTCATTCTGGATGTCAACGCGGAGCAGGTTTCGTCTCGATTCTATGGTGAGTTTTAAACCTGGTACATTCACTTCACTGGCTTACCAATACCTCTAGGCTCCCCTTCTGTGGCCACGCGCAACTCCTTTGATATCCCCTTGGCGAACTTTACTGTCGTCTCTGGCGAAAACCATTTGAAGCGGCCTGTTGCCGGCGGTCGTGCCGAGTCCGGAGCACTTCGCTACGGAGAGATTGTCCACACGAATATCACACTCGACACGGAGACTGGCGTATGGAATGTTACCGGCTTGGACAAAATGTATGTTGAGCATAAGTAATAGGGTATTCATTACAAGATCAGCTTTGGGAAACAGATATCTGGAGAATAAAAGTCATAAGACTTTTGGAAAGACAATCTTTAGAAATCGTGCTCTAAAAACACGCCTGTTATTAATATGGCCAATTTTAAGCCTGGTGAACCAATTTCTGTTTTAAATGTGTGTATAACCAAGAATGGGATGACAAGCATTTTGGGGTAATGAGGATATAAACCAAATGGTCATGATGTTAATCAGCGTTCCCAACCAATATTCAACCCTCGTACTCCTCAGGCTCGCCCTCCTCGTATTCCTCAGCCTCATCGTCGATGTCGGCGTCTTGGTATTGCTGGTACTCGGAAACCAAGTCGTGCAAGTTGGACTGGGCCTCGGTGAATTCCATCTCGTCCATACCCTCGCTTGTGTACCAATGCAAGAAAGCCTTGCGTCGGAACATGGCTGAGAACTGGTCGTCGACACGCTTGAAGATCTCCTGAACGGCGGTAGAGTTACCGACGAAGGTGGCGGACATGTCGAGGCCTCGGGGAGGCACGGAACAGACGGAAGTTTGAACGTTGTTGGGGATCCAGTCGACAAAGTACTCGGAGTTCTTGGTTTGCACCTTGAGCATCTGGTCCTCGATCTCCTTGGTGGAGAGCTTTCCGCGGCTGAAATCTCGTCAGTATTTCACTTTTTGAAATTCGTTAGTTTTGAAACTTACAAGATAGCGGAACAAGCAAGGTATCGGCCGTTTCGGAAATCGGCGGCGGCCATGATGTTCTTGTTGTCGAAGATCTGCTGAGCCAGGCTGGGCACAGTAAGATGTTGGAAGGTCTTCATGTTGCGACCAGTGAGAGGAGCAAATCCAACCATGAAGAAGTGAAGTCGGGGGAAAGGAATCATGTTAACAGCCAACTTGCGCAGATCGGAGTTGAGCTGACCGGGGAATCGGAAACATGTTGTCACACCGGCCATGACGGTAGAAATCAGATAGTTGAGATCGGCGTAAGAGGGGTCGGCGATCTTAAGGGTCCTCTCGTAGATATCGTACAGAGCCTCGTTGTCGATACAGAAGGTTTCGTCGGAGTTCTCAACGAGTTGGTTCAGAGACAAAGTGGCGTTGTAAGGTTCGACAACGGTATCGGAAACCTTGGGCGAGGGCATAACGGAAAAGGTGGCCATCATGCGATCGGGGAATTCCTCGCGAATCTTGGACAGAAGAAGCGTACCCATACCGGAACCGGTACCACCGCCCAGGGAGTGAGTGAGCTGGAAGCCCTGAAGATGGTCACAGTTCTCGACCTCACGACGGACAACGTCGATAGCCTCCTCAACGAGCTCGGCACCCTCAGTGTAATGACCCTTGGCCCAGTTGTTTCCGGCACTGGCCTCACCGGCGACAAAGTTGTCGGGGCGGAACAGTTGGCCCATGGGGCCGGCGCGGATAGCATCCTGGGGACCGGACTCAAGATCCACAAGAACAGCACGGGGGACGTACTTGTCGTTGCCACCCTGGATACGTTAGTAAACAAACTCATAAGAGTTTGTGGTTAGCTTACCTCAGCGAAGTAGACGTTGATGCGCTCTCGCTGCTGGTCTGTGGTGCCGTGGTAGCTTTATCAAAAAGTTAGATGAGATGAAGGTGAGGCATAAAGTCGGTGACGTTGTTGACTTACGCGCCGCTACCATCAATGCCATGCTCCTTGGAGACGGTGTTCCTGAAAACACGTTAGTGAAAGCTCAATTGAACGTTGAAAAGCTAATTCAAGCTTTAAAACACCTACCAGAAGCTGGAACCGACTTGGTTGCCCTGCAGAAATCATCAACTCAACACATTTCCCTCAAAACAGTTTTTTGGTGGGTAAGCCTTACACATTGGCCGACCTGGACGTGGACCTGGAAAAACAGAGTTAGCTCGGGAGTCAATGGCACGGAATCGAGAATCTTACAATCTCACGCATCTTGATTAACTGGGTGGTGTCTGGAAGGGAGGAGGGGGGTATCTCAAGATTGGTCTTGGTCTGGTCGTGAGGGTGAGGTCGGAGGCAGAAAAGTCAAGGTCTCCTTTATTTAAGGTAGACACGCAAAAAATGGTGCCTAAAATTAAAATGATTGAGAATTCCGATGCCTGGGGAAGGAGGGGAGGGGGGAAGAAAAAAAGAAGGCGGTAGGGGAATGGACGACTATTAGTGGTCTGATTATGTTGATTTAATTGGGGCAGGTTTGTTTTTTTGAGGGGACCTCCTTCTCCTTAGCTAGACTGTCGGATAGATGAATATTTTGGCAATTTCATTTCCCTTTGACTGCTGTACCGCAGGTTGCTATGGGCTCCTGGGTCTTACAGCGGGCAAGAGATTAGTCTAGAGCGAGGCAGGGGGTGATGAACAGCTCGTGTTTAATTGTCTGCCAATCGATTATGTGGATATCAACTTTTTTGATGGGGTAGCTACAGCTATGGTTGCTAGCTATAGGTGGGCGTTTGTTTGTTTTGTAGGCTACCAAATAACTGAAACTTGTTGTTTTTCGAGTGTGACATACTTTTCGTGCTCTGTACGGATACTCTATGCCGTCCTGTTGACTCCATGCTTGCTTGTTGTTGCAATTCAATATGTTATCTCGCTTCTCCTTTTTGTGGCAAATTAGGTGACTTGTGTGACTTTGCACTTGGCCCATGTCAAATCCTCTTTTCCCTGAGATCTGTTGGCGCCAAGGTACCAATTGGGTGAGGTGAGGTGGCTTCATCGACAGCGCTAACGACGTCCCCTGTCAGAGCGTTGTCTTTGACCTCCAATCTTCAACATTAACAAATTCTAGACGAGCATCACCAGCTCTTGAAGTCTCTGTTCCTCAATTTCCAAAATCTAAAATGCAAGTTTCTAGACATTCATCGCACTATCAAATGACCGCCATCGCACCTGATGACTCAGCAAGAAAATATCAAAAGTCTTCCCCTCACCGCTATATCGGAATGTCTTGGACAAGCGTCATGATCACCAGAAGCTCAGACTACGGGATAAGACCTTATCGCTCACGATAGCTTCCCGTTTAATCTTGCTCTAGTCAAACAGCGGTCTGATATATGCGATTAGCCATAACCTAACTCACAGCCTCGTAAGTCAATTGGAGGACAAAGGTTGATGCGCCCTACCAAGGCGAAGCAACAATCAAGTATTCGATAGATACTTCTTCTTTCTGATTTCACATGCAATGTCGAACAATTGACCATGGAATCATGCCGACTGGTGGGAAACATGACAGTTGACAGGTGAGACCTGCGTGCAGCTAAAGTATCATCGCCTCTTCCTGGATCGGTGTAGGGTAAGACCATCTTCGCATGGCTACCTCAACCACACCATAGGACTTGACACTATATCCAGTTCAACACCTTTCCAGATGGTGTATTACTTTCGTGATACTCCTCTGTGATATACTAGACCGTTTTTAATACGGATAGGCTTGGATCCCCTCAGCAACGTGCAGAATATTCAAATCAACAAGTCTTACTATGACGCACAAACCGAGAGCTGTATCTTGAAGCAGAATTGGGAGACGTAGGCGAATCTTCATGACCATGCTGTGGAATTAGTCAAAAAGACATTGGCACTCTACAAACGACATGCGTCCTGCCCTCATCAGGGATTCAACTGTCCGGGCATAAATATTCGACTTGGGCACGAAACGAGCAAAAACGCGTGCAGACGATCATTCGATATTATGTTAGGTTGCTATAGTTATTTGCTAAAGTAGTGGAAAGGCTGTCTTAAAATATATACACAAACTCGCTAGATGGAACAAAAGTGTTTCTCAAAATCTAAGATCCTCCTCAAACATGTCCAAATCTCCTTAGACTTCCTCATCGCCACCCGCAAGGGCAGTCATGTTCGTGTTTCCAGGAACAATGATCTGCTTCTCCTTAGGCAAAGAGTCCAAGAACTCATCCGAGACATGCAAGTGGTCCTTGACAACCTGCTTAGGAGTCAAAGCCAGCCACTGAGCCACAGAGATATCCGAGAACTTGGGTGCCTGAAGAACCTCGAGGAAAATCAGATCAACATCACCAGTGTTCTCGACATAATGACTGTTAGCGGCGGGAATGTAGCCTACACCCCCGGCAGTGAAGTCAAAGGTACGAGCGGACTCGGGGGCCTTGAAGACGGTGACTCGGCCACTGCCTTGGAGGAAGTAACTCCATTCGTCGGAGGTGGTGTGCCAGTGGATTTCACGGACGGCGCCGGGCTGGACGACGACGAGAGCGGCGGAGAAGTCCTTGGCGATGGGGAAGGTGGTAGGATCGAGGATCTTGACGGAACCGCCGGGGACGGTGTGTGGCTTCTGCTGAGACCAGTGGTAGGTGTATGAGTCGTTGCCAGACAGGACACCAGCAGGGCCCGTCATATTCTGCTTCTCGATATCCTTGGGCGCAGGCGTTCCGTTGAAGATCTAAACTCATTAGCTAAAGTCTACGAGATTCGAGTAGGGGAATAAACTCACGTAAAGCTGGTCCTTGGGGATCTTGTCAAAGGCAGAAGTGTCTGTCTTGAAGTTCTTGGCCAGAACTGAAACAGGGTTTCGAAGGAAGGTCTCGGAAACCAAGAAAGTCTCATCCTCAGAGAATTCACCATCGTTGAAAACCAGCAGGAACTCAACACCCTGATCAAGGGCTTGAAGACTGTGGGGAACACCAGGAGGGAAGAACCAAACATCGCCGGCGCAAACATCGTCGATGAAGCTCTTGCCATCCTCGTTCATAGCAGCAACTCGAACGCAACCCTTGGTGATCAGAGACCACTCAGCTGAGGTGTGCCAGTGAAGCTCACGGTAAGCATTAGGAGCGAGACGCATGTCAACACCAGCCATGGCGGTGGCAGCGGGGAGAACATCAACGTTCTGCTGTCGTGCCCAACCGGCGCCCTTCTCACTTCCTAGACGGTTGTGAGAAAGACCGAGAGGCCACATGGCGTTGGGGACGTCGCCAGAGTCTGTGCCAGGAGGAGCATAGAGGTCGGGGTTAAGCTTCTCGTACTCATAGGTGCGAGGGCCAGGATCAGTGGCGCCTAGTCCGCCGCGCATGGGCTGGGGGACGTCAACATCATCAAAGTCGAGGTACAGACCGAGCTTGGCATCTGCATCTTGACCGTTGACAAACTTGGGGTTCTTGACGACGGCTGAGTCGGACTTATCGGGGTCTGGGAGAGGAGCGTTGCCACCTAGTAAGCTGGAGTCACCGTACAGTGAGCCGCTTGTTGAAGTGACAGTAGGAGTAGGAGGGTCGACTCCGCCTACAGGCCCTGTGTTTTCGCCATAGTTTCCCATTCTGTTTGTCCAAGTTAGTTTGTCTTCTGGTGACTGAGGAAGGATAACAACTCACTGGGGAGCAGGGAGGGCCAGAGCTCCAGAGATAGGAAGTGAGGCCAAGACGGCTCGGAACAAAGCGTTACGAAGAGTCATGATGGAGACTGGTTTGAAATCAAAGAGTAAACAAGAAGGGATTCCCAGCTGTTTCTAGATTCTCTGTGCTTGATGAGGGTAGTTGATGACACGGAAGAAAGAAGGAAATGGCATTCCAACAAGCTGCTTCTTATACATTTCGGAATACCGTCGACGATGTTGAACGGTTCAACGGCTCCAAGCTGATCCACAGGTTTCGGAACGTCGTTGGATATTTCGGTGCCGAATTCGCTACCGATTATGCACGAATCACCGATCCGGCCATTGTGATCGACCGGCAGATAGTCATGGTGCTGTGTGCCGCAAGCCGATGCTCAGCCTCATTGCCCTGGACGTTACAAAAGTTCGGCCAATTCTGTGTCACCCTAGAATGAATAAGCCTGTATTTCCAAGGTTCTCGGACTTCGGGTTGTCGTGATGAATACCAGGCTTTTTGTTAATGGTTGATGATTTATTGGTTTGATGCCATTCCGGGACCCATCAGCACGGCCCGGACAATCGCTTGGCGCTAGGAACCGACGGGACTACGGCACTTGACTTGCATTAGCCCAGTGATATCATGGTATTATTTGCTCTATGATAGACACTCGCTCGGACAAAATCTTACCTGTGGCTTCCTTATTAAGGTTTGTAATGCGCACGAGTCATGTATGCTACGTAGTAATTGCTTACGGTGATTGACGTAGTGGTGTCTTATTGCAAGCCACAAAACCCAGGATTTCTTCCATCTTACCCGGACCTACAGGAGCAGGTTATGCCAGGGCTTTATACAGCATGCTTAAAGCCTATGCCAAATAATGTACTTTGTAGTAAAACCTTGATTTGTACCTGGAAAGTTGAAGAGCATTAGCCAAAGTTTATTCCATCTCCATTACTTCCGATACGTCAACAAAACCACCACCGATACTAACCTCAAGTCAGTGTATCGCACAAAAGTCGTGAACTCGTCCAATCGAAGCTGATTTACTCCGTATTTGAGAGACTTTCGTTCTTATCTCCGATTGGCTCTTGGTTGTGCATCATGCATGGATTTCTAATACTTCTACCCATGTGCTTACTGTTCCTTACATTTTGACAAGCCCATGTCAGACCCCGACAGTCCCACTCGCTATGATCACTCAGAATAATATCGAGAATCCTATGTATTATTCCAGGCGGAGACAAGAAACGTAAGACAGTAAGACCGATTTCCATCCGACAGGGCACCAAGCCCGGCACCTCTGATCCGACAACACTCTCCGAGTAATGTCCTCAATTACATGATTATCTCATCAGGACAGGCTTAGGTAAACACTTTATAATTATTGTGTACCCTGACTGATACACATGGACCAGTCTACTTGAGGTTGTAGCAATATCTGGGGGAACACAACATATCAGTTCAGTCAAGCGTGCTCAGCTGTGCTGGAGTGGAATCCTACTGGAAGGTCTTAATCTCGGGTTTCGGGGAGTAAGCATTACTTATTGCTGTATCTACCTTGTCAAAACTCATCTTACTTACACGGGAGGCTTGAGCCATTATTTAGTGAGGGCTGCGAGCCATGCCTCCAACATCGGTCACCGGACTCTTGATTATAATTTCAACAACTGCTGCAGGGGTAGAGATACTTTGTGAGACCTTCTCGTTATGTAGCAGCATGAGATTAAGAGTCAGAAGCCATTAAATCTCAGATGTGTTCATCTCCCAGCTCTGAGAAAATTATGACTAGAGATACAGCGGTATCTGGAGATACGATATCTCAGGTACCTGGACTACTAAATATGAAAAGGCCGGTCGAACTGTACCTAGATATCTCATCTAGGGGCTTTCCATGATTCAAGTTTCTTACACGTCTCATAGTCGCTTCGGCGACACGGAACAATGGGCATATGGAAGCCTCTTGGCATCCTTCAACGAAACTTAGCTTATTGGAAAATTAACTTGAAGTTCGAACATCTTGGTTAGTCATCGTGTTGCTTACAAGTCCCTAGTCGAGAAGGTATATCCTAACTATATTGAGTTGTTTAGCCGTTTGGCAACTCGGTTAATCATTTCAGATCAACATATCTCTTGGCATAACTCAGACCTTTCGTCCGATGTACACGAGAGATCCACCCGTAACTAACAGTCAAATATGAGTGCTTTGATAAGTGCTTGGAATTGTTGAGGCTTATTTGTTGTTTCAATCTTGGTACTGGTATAATTCTGTATAGGCATTTCTTGACAACCGTCCACCCACATACATAACAACCACCCCAATGTGTCAGTCCAATTTCTTGCTCATAGTCAGCAACATAATTTAGGATTTTTCTGATAACTTAGCAGTGGTTTGCGAATGTCCGCAAACCTGAAGTCCATATCATCCGCTCGAACCTGGAATTGATGAGCTTAGAATGTGCCCAAGTGGTATCATGAGCCATATTATATACATATGAGTTGAGGGACTTCCATTGATACAAAACCTCTACAAACAGCGGTCAAGTTAATTCCGCGGTCTATGAACAGCCGGCTTTTATTCACGGCAATAGAGATAAAGAACACCATATGTTCTCTTCACCTGATACGTCAATTGGCTGGCTCTTCGGCGAACCAACCATTATCCAAGATAAAGATCTTGACATAAACAAGGGTTTATAGACCGACAGAGCGGGGTGAAGTTGACATCTCGTTAACTTAAGGATTTAACTAACCGACAACTATAAAGATTGTCTTGATAAAGATCCTAGTTAGGAAGGTAACTTCGATCTTGAGCGGGGGATAGGCGATGTGGAGACACTCGGAGAACACTTCTGATTCCTAGGGCCATATAATTGATAGACAACCAAGGAAATGCATGATATACTCGTATCTTGTCAAATTTGGCCGATCTAATTGATGTTGTAGAAGTGTAGATCTTGGCGGAACTGAAGATGTATAAGGAAAGCCAATTCTCTTGCGGGTGGCTTCTGAGTTGAGTCTATCACTCCAGCCAACGTCAAGAACAACCCTTCAATTGGTATAATAAAGTGTTCGGTATCGAGGAGCTTAATAATTCCGGTATCACTTTGACATCATGGTCTTCCTATCACAGGCCAAGGGCCTCGCGGCCGTTGTCTACGGCTTGACTCTACTCGCTGCCCCAGTATCATCATCACAAACTTCACTTAGCCCCCGCGCAAAGAAGAACGCAACAAGTCCCTACGCAGAAGCAGTCTCCAAATACGTTGATTCTCTGGACAAAGAGCTCTGGTCAATCAACAAGAACATTCACGACAACCCCGAACTCGGATACAAAGAGTTCAAGGCCCACAAACTTCTCACGTCGTACATGAAGAAGCAAAAAGGATGGAAAGTCACAGACACTGTCGGTGGAATTGACACTGCTTTCATGGCTGTGTTTGAAGGCTCAGGTGATGGTCCTGTTGTGAGCTTCAATGCCGAGTATGATGCTCTTGAGGGACTGGGCCATGCTTGTGGTCATAACTTGATCGCGACAGCGTCGCTGGGTGGTGCGTTGGCTGCTGCTGAGATTATGCGCGAGGAAAAGCTTGGAGGAAAGGTCATCCTTTTCGGTACACCGGCTGAAGAGTCGCTTGGTGGAAAGGTCAAGATGTTGGAGGCCGGCGTCTTCAAGGACGCCAAGATTGACATCTCTCTCATCTCCCACCCCAGCAATGGCCCGGATACTCCATACATGCTCGCGCAGTCGACTGATCGCTTTGATGTCGAGTACACAGGCCGCGAAGCTCACGCTGCAGCTGGACCATGGGACGGCATCAATGCCCAGGACGCTCTCCTCCTCGCCAACAGCGCCCTGTCCTACATGCGCCAACAAATGCGAACAACCGATCGCGTCCACGGTATCATCCATTCAGCTGGAAGCCGTATCAACGTCATCCCCGCGGACGCGTCAGGAAGTTACCAGCTCCGCTCCGCCAACGAAGAGCAACTTGAAGCACTCTCAGACAAGGTCTACAATTGCTTTAAAGCCGGAGCCATCGGCACAGGAGCAAAGATGAACTTCACAATGCGTCCATACGGCTACGCCAACATGAACAACAATGATGGTCTCGCTGCGTCTTACACGAGGTGGTTTGAGGAGCTGGGTGGTGATCTCCCCGACGCTGATGTCGACAAGATGAGAAGTCCCGGTGGCTCTACAGACCAGGGAAACATTAGCCAGGACTTCCCGACTATTTCTCCCATGTTCCAAATTACCTTCCAGAATGGTACTGTTCCCAAGGAAGGTCCCCATACTGCTCCTTTTGAGGTCGCTGCTGGAAGTAAGGCTGCGTTTGAGAAGTCGCTCATGGTTGCTAAGAGTCTTGCGGGTGTTGCGGTCGATATGTTGACGGTCGATGGGCTATTGGACGAGATTAAGGATGAGTTCAAGAAGTCCAAAAAGGCCTCCGATCGCCGAAGAAGATGAACGTTGTTGCTGTGTTAAGACACCGACTGAAATCATGAAGACAAATGCTGCTACAGTTGCACGACTGGGAAGTTATTAAGCTGTATAGTAACCAGTTTAGACATATATAACGAAATAAATATGTAGAATAAGCAATAAGTGCGGTATACCATTAATAGTTGTTGGTGATTATACAACTGTCTCTATCTCACATCTACAAACGCCTGCCACATCAATCATCACCACGTTAATCATGCCTCGCCTTATTTATATACCAGGGAGACCAACAAGCTGTCTCACACCGGGCACAAAGCGAGGTACAATATACACAGCGTAGAACGCTGTACCAGCGGCCAAGAGTCCCGTAAACTGTCTATCGTTAGTAATTGGTACAAAAGGACGGGCGTATGTTTGACTTACCTTCTCAAACCAGGTATGGAAGTAAATGGCTGTCATCAACAACATCCAAGAGCTCAAGCCCATGACTCCAACAGCAAACTTGCCACCGAGTCCCAAGACAGGCTGCGCTGCGCCTTCACCCATAGCATGATCAGCCTCCACGTTGGCACTCTTCAGTGCGCCATCGCTCATGACAACACATCGCTCCTCGTTACGCTTTCCGGACCATCGCAATATAGCCCAGCCAACTTCCTGCATGAGGAATGCGGTACCGAGAGTAAGGAGGAAGACATGGCCCGATATGTCATGACCACCTTTCCACTTTCCACCGGCAGCCTTGCATGCAACTGCTGTGACCTTGTCCCCGACAGTGTCAGCGCCAAACTCGATCTCCCTCTTAGCAAGCTCGCAGCGACCACCTGTCCATCGGAAACCTCGATCGATCAAGGCAGGACCAAAACACCACTGGGTAACAAGGAACCACATAGAGGTAACAGCGAACCATCGGAAAATAGCACGGGCACGTCGCTCAATGTTGGCAGTGCTGGGGTGGGTAAACACGAAGGTGAAGAAAGCAACGGTAATCCAGGCCCAGCCTCTCTTGACGAACAACACGTTGAACAGATTGGACTTGCGCGCAAAGTAGCTTGGTGAGAAGCTCGGGTCTTGCAAGTGCGCTTGCGCGACGGGATCGTATGGGGAGGCGCGCGTCTGGGGCGAGATTATGGAGAAGATGGTGCCGAAAACCAGCATTGCTGGGAAGACCACCAGACCAGCTCTTTCAAGGGGCGTCGGGAGGAATGGTGAAGTGCGCGGCGTCGAAGTAGTTCGAGTAGAATCCATAGCTATGGTGTTCTCTTCAGGGGCCGCCTTTGCGGCACGACGGGTGGTAACCATTCTAAAGCGGTCGCAAACAAATCGATATTGAGTGATACTGGTGTCTAAAGCATTAGAATAGCGCAATGGAGAGGAAGAACAGAATAAGACAGGTGGCGCCGGAGCGACTTTGCTGGTGGTGTTTTTGATGGCTCAGGCAATGACGTCTACGCACTGGCGCTAATAGTGGGCTGTCGCCAAGGAAGCCCTGACAGATCGCCAGCGTCCCGGACGGAAAAAGGAAGGTTCCGTTTTTGGAGGTACGGAATTATTACGTAGAGCGGGGTGAAATCATAACCTCCTCATCTTTACATCGAATGCGACATTCGACGATGCCTTCGAAATTTCTATCTGTAATCAAGTGATTATGGAGGCCGGCGAACGCTATTTCACGGCTTTGATGACTCACATCACATGAATCGTGACGCGCATGCCCGACCTTGACGCGCCCGAAACCTTCGCTTCCATTTCTTCCCACATCGACCGCCCTGCTCCAGCCTTTCAACGTTTAGACGAACACGACCGACCATACCTTTATTAATCCAACTTGCACTCCATGTCCTTGAGAAGGGGTCGAGTGGCATCCGCTCTCTTACCAATGGCCTATGACCACCGTACCTAAAAATCTCTTGAACCCGCTCCTATGACTTCTTCCTCCCACTGCCCGCTGCTTGCCTTTTGCTGATCACGACTATTTCTTCTTTCTGAAGGCATTCTCTACGACCTCCTTTTTTTCTGGCCTCTTTTTGGCCATTTCCCACGACGTTCAAACCCCCTGATCGATCGCATACGACCAAAACCGAGCTCTCGACAACGGCAACATTGAGATAGAATCCACTGGCATTGTTTTTCTTTACCGCGGACCGTCTACGATGTTGTGTTGTGCTGTGGTGCACGACCTTGAGCTTTTTCATATACCTATATATGCCCAAACAAGACACATCATCCTCGACGGTGCAGCGGTATCCGTTCCTCATAACCTAAGAACTCTACTATCCGAATCTAAAACCTCTTTCACCCGATGTACCACTCTTTGTTTTTGCTCTTTCACTTTTCATTTACGAATACCGACCAAGATGAGAAACCACTACGCGTCTGTTACATATTCGATACACCGTTTTTCCATGGCCGATTTTGAAGAGTTGCAGCAAGGATACACTGGAGCTGGTAACAGAAGAATGCTCTGAGGCTTAGGCTGCCGTGACAAAGTAGCCTAAACGCTAGTCTAAGATAGCATAAAGAGACCAAATTATTTCGTCTCTTATGCTTCCGGGGGCTAATTCTTCTGGGATCCTGGGGATACTGCATTCAAATCAACATGCGACAAATCAGGATACCCGGAGTCAAAGACCGGCGCATCAGTTCACCATTTTGAGAGTACATGCGCTTGCAAAGTGGTCACTCTTTTTGTTATCCGATAGTATTGCCAGTGGTCGACGAGATGTCAGGACAGGATTGGTTACCAACGGGTTGATGGGGCAGTTTCGTGGACCAACTGCACGACCGATCCCTCGGCCATGGCACCTTAAATAGCAAATAAGGCTATCTACCATCAGACAAGGAGTGGTGCAGTGGAATCCGCTCTCCTACTTACCCTATGAAGTCTGAACCCCGTTCCTACAAACTCTATCACCCACTGCAACACTCATTGTCTTTTTGGACCTTTGTTCGAGTCCCCCTTTGGCCACCTCTTTTTTCCCTTTTCGACATTACGATCAGATTGACGGCTAAATTCCAAGAGAACCCTTCACTATGCCTCTACGCAAATTCCAGCCTCTGGTAGCGCGACATGTTCATTGAGGAGCATTTGCCAGAACATATATTGCATATCTTGCCAAAGATCGATATAAGGACGATAGGTTCGACTCGAAAATACATCAGCAGTGTTATTCCGACGATGTGGCAGCATAATGATCAGGTGTGGTGTGGGGTAGGCGAGGTTATTGACGAGGCCACCCCTCTACCCCTTTTAACTACTTCGAAAAGCTCGTTCTTTCTTCTTTCTCTTTCCTCCCTTATACGGATACTTTGAAGATATATGACCTTTGTCTACGAGAGGGCAAGGAGGTGAAGCAGAAAAGAAGAAGAGGAAGGCTATGGAGAAGAAGGACGGCGATGAGATGGAGGAGGCTCCTCTTGCACCGGGGCTCCTCGCCGGACACTGTTTCGCTGCCCACTCTGCCATCGAATGAAAAGAAAGGGGGGAGAAGAAGGAGAAGAACACCGCCTACCGCCTCCAAGGTGAGACCAACTAAGCGAATTAACATGAACATAGGAGTATCACGAATTGATACTTGAATACAAGGGATATCAATCGCTAAGCAGGTAGGTCGCAGGAGAATCATCCCCCAGGGCTTAGACTACCAACAGAGTAGCCTAAATGATAGTTCAAACTATCATAAGTCACCAAATTATTTCATCTCTTATGCTTTCAGGGGTAATTCTTCTACTGCCCTGACGGTCAAGCTATCAACAAGTGTTGGCTTTCCCCTCCTTTTCCTTTCCTGACAAAAGTCTACGCTATAGCGTTACTGTTATCCAGTTCACATGGTATCGATACGAATCGTTGAGTCATGGTTATATATGGGTTTTAACCCCAGTACCTTTGAAGCGAGGGGTCGTCAAGTGGGAATTCGTACCTATCTAATAACCTAAACCTCTCTCACCTTTTTGGCTTCCTCGTCACTTTTCTGTTATTCATTCAGCTTCGAACCCTTCTGGGCCAAGCCCTTTCTTTTTGTCATTTGAAGTGGTATTCGACCTAGAATCTCATCCTCCTTTCTTGGTTTTCACAATAGTCGGTCAGATACGCAGATCATGTCAAGGCAGGAAGTCACAATAAGGAGAAGTGCGAAAGCTGATAGATCTTATCGAACGCCTTGATTATCCATTGATTATTGATATCCCTTATGTTTGAAAGGAAAAAAAAAAAGAAAAAAAGTCGTAATCCTCCCAGATACCCGGCAACATCTCATCCTGGATGCCGCGGACGATGCTTCTCTTCTTTCTCTTCCAGCAGCAGGACAAGGGGGTGGAGCGGGAAAGCGGCTCGCCAGGTCGGCGAGGAGCTGCTGTTGCTGTTGTTGTTGCTGCTGTTGCGGAGTCGTAGCCTCCATCTCCTCGTCCTCATCCTCGGCGGCGGCGGCGGTGGTGGCCTGCCTCTTCTCGGGGTTCTTCTTCTGCCGGTCCCGTTTCTGGGAGTGGTCGGCCGCGACCGATCTTGCCACACTATGAATGTTAGTATCTGATCCTGCAGCAATATACATGTGCAAGGGAGGAGGGGAAGGTAGAATAGTATATTGACTTACAAAGTTGCACTTGCCGCTGAAGCCACCGGCGACCACCACCACCGGCACCGGCATCACCATCAACGCCATAGTATTGATCGACGGTCTATATATAGATATTAGTATACAGTTCGTTGTGTAGTTAGGTTGCTGATGTTTACTCACAGACATCTTAAACGTTTTGAATAGACGTGGCGACTTGGAACAGACGGAGGTCTTGACGACTTGAACGTGTAAACACTGGGATCTTGGTGACTTGAAACCTGTTGAAAGAAGTCGGCCATGTAGGTAGGCATTTAGTGGCTATCTACCTAGGTAGTGGCCTGGAGTTCACGTCGTGCTGTCGGCACGTGACAATAATACTGACGCCGGGGACTTCCAAAGCTCCTTCCCTCTGGTCATCGTTCCTCTGCAAACCATGATGTAATGTTGTCGCTCCAACTCGTGGGTTACCCCTCTCCCCCTCCCAACACAGAGGCTCGTCCCTTCCGAAATAAGAATCCCATGAGAAGTTTGGGAAGGCGCACTTTCTGGACAAAATGGTCGTCCCATTTCCAAGAAGCATCCTCACGAAGCCTCCTCCTACAACACACAACTGCGTGCACACTGAAGTCCCACGACCTTATGTTTTAAACACACCCTCATCACTTTGCTTTCAAGATGCTTCGTCGATCTGCAAAGCTTTCCTCTCGCCACTCTGGTGGTTCTGAGATGCCAGTGTCTCTCCCAAACACGCCGAGGGAAAGTGATGGGAAGAGGTCCCTAGAGGAGCTTGGAGAGCCAAGTTCGATGCGTGCAGATGCCCCTGAAAGACGGGATGAACTCTACAACGGTAACGACGACGACGATGACGGGGATGCAGTAGAGCATACCGAGTCAAGAAAGAAAGCTGCTCGGGCAGTAGCAAGACCAGCGTCTTTGAAGAAGACCCGTGGTAAGTTTTATTTTCAATCCCGCAAGTCTCACTGATCTGACCATGCGTTTGACAGTTATGATTGTAGAGTCATCGAGCCGCAGGAAGTCCTTGTGTCTTTGTACACATGGTCTTTAGTCCGGTAGGGGATTCGTCTGTCTCACAGTCGTTCCTAGTCATCGAACCGCAGGAGGATCTTGTGTCCCTTCACATGATCTTTAGTCCGGTAGGGGATTCGTCTGTTTCAGTCGTTCCTAGTCACAAGCCGCAGGAAGACCTTGTGTCTTTTCACATGGTCTTTAGTCCGGTAGGGGTTCGTCTGTCACAGTCGTTCCTAGTCATCGAACCGCAGAAGGATCTTGTGTCTTTAGTCCGGCAGGGGATCGGTTTACTGATACTAGTCACAAGCATTGGGAGGACCCAGGGTCCTTAGTCATGCAGGAAGACGTTTTACCCTCCCTGAACTTAGTGTATGGGGTCGTTTATGCCACTACACTCGAGTCCGCCATCCAGGAGAGGGACTTTGCCACTGAAGAGAACACGCAGTCCGGCAGAACAACATCTCGACGTCATCTTTGAAATCTCAAGACGGGCGCGAACCAGCTTCTCTAAGTCCCTATTGCGGCCCAGGAACATTATGACGGTAGTTATCAGTCTCGGCCCGACCTCTCTACGGCGTACAGCAATGCCCTCCAGTCTGCCAAACGCACACTATGGGTTATCCCAAGCCATACAGCGTTGGACGATGGCAATCTCACTCCCTTTTCTGCCTGGATGTTTCCGACAATTCCCTGTCATCTCACTAGTCCCGCCAAAGAGACCACACAAGATTGGCCACTTGTCCCTTATCCAGAACAAACACAAAACCGGCCATGGCAGATTATGCCACCCATTAGTCAGACGATTATGGCTGATTTACGACTCTTCATCACCAATACCTACATTCTCCAAACCATTCAACAACTATAGCACTTTGAGAGCCTACCAGGCATGGGCTGCTTTGATGCAGACTAGAGTATAGCTATACTGAAGACACTGCTGTGCCGTCGGTCGTCGGCGACTGTGGACAAAACACAAGATGAGATCTTACTTCTTTCACTATGCGAGGAGGAAACTAGATTTTGCCACTGGTTTCAAGAAACCCGGCTCAATAGAAGAGATAAGCAAAACGGACAGCAACGCCGAGAACATTCAGCTCATCTGCGAGAGCTTGATCGTTACCATCTCAAACACCACTGTAGTTCGCTACTCCTAAGGTCACCAACCTTGAACCCTTACGCCATACACTGTCATTCAATCATGGCGGATAGCATGTATGGTCTTTCAGTCTGTCGGACATACAGGCAGCCGCGCAACGCCCAGTGTAGCAACCTGCAACAACAGATCAACAGCCGGGGTGGCGGAATCCAGCTAGATGTTTTGAAAGCAGTGCTTTGTTCAATACTATCGCTTGCAGCGCTTCTTCCCTCCGCTCCATCAGCAGTACCACTGGTATCATATACCTCGCGCCCGTTGAGCGGCTCTATGATGGTCATCTTCTAATTGCGCAATACTCACAGTCTTGACATAGAGTTGTTGGTGAGTCTCAGGAGAGACTGTCCGCAATCCTCCTCCCAATGACAGCAAGGTACAACAAATTCAACGTCCAATAATGAACCTTTGGCATGTATTCATTCATGAATATCGACTTATAAATCCTTGGTCACACACAGAGACGCCTCCAAAGCTCTGGCAATATGGTCGAGCCCAATACAACGAGCCACATCCGCCCCTGCCCTGACACATATGACAGCTGGGATTTCATCTTCTCTCTGCGCATGAAACCATCACGACAGAAATGGACATTCAAGATTCACGCATATCGTCCTATGAAATCAGCAAGAGCTTATGATCCAAAATATCAGTGATCAGGTTTGAAAGAAAACGGTGAAATGTTCATCTATCGCATGCACAGTGGTTGCCGCAAGTTCACTCTTGCCATCCATCACGAAGACATTGTCGGATGGGTCGTTGCTGCATCTGGAATCGGGGTGCACACTCTCTAGCGCTCTCATACACATTATGGATGGACAAGACTCACCCCTTTTTCTTTTCTTGACAGGATTGCGTACCCTTTCCCACCACAGAAAGCAGGTTTTGGTACCAACGCCCTGACTAAAGAAGCTGCTGCATTGAGGGAGAAAGAGGCTACCACCGCCGAGGCTGAAGCTCAAGCTGCAGTTATTGCCTAAGAAGTTGCTGGTACGGGTCCGAGTCAGCTCAACCTGTCGATTACCTTGTGGCTACACCACAGGGAACAGCCCACAGGACGCAACTCCGAACACTGTTTCTACTGCTGGTACAGGTCCTAGCCAACTCCCAATTCCCTACCCCGGGCCCTCGCCGCAATTGGGGATGATACAACAGTTACTCGCTTGCTTGAGATCTGAGCGGATAGCATGGACCTCTAGCCTATCAAGAGAGCCAGCAGTTATGATCCGCCCGGTCTAACAATTTAAAGCGTCCGCTGCAGCAATATATGGAAATACGACATCTCCGCAAAGATTCCCAGCGGTTTCAGAACGATCGCTTTCGTCAATAGTGAGGAGACTCACCAGCAGGCATACCGACACATCAAGGCCATGAATCCTTCTGTGCCCATGGTGCTGGTGACACGCCGATGGAAGGGACCGCCTTAATGGGCGATTATCCCGTCGTTAACCCCCAGTCTAGATGTCGATGCTACAAGCACAGGACCAAGCCAACCACCCCAAGGTCCCTTCCGCTGCAGGGGATGATAGCCATCGGCCTCCTTGAGACAGACCTTGCACTAGTAAAAGGTATGCACCTCCGGTCAACCGGGCATACAAACAGCCGCGCTCCACCTGGTCTACAGATTGACAACCCTAGTCGCGGCGGCGAACTCCAGGAGGAAGCTTTCCCAGGAAGTTCTAGCTCTTCCAAACCGATCTCTATTGATGAGACTATGTCTGGCATTGTACCACCGACCAAGTACCTTTCACAAAGATGTACGGCTTTTGCTAACGAACCCTGACCAACCCCAAAGCTGTCGGTTTCAATTTGATCGATTGTTCCTTACATTGAATCTGCCACCGCCACCTATTTTACAGAAATGTGCATCGAACATTGTCATATCGGCGAAAATTCACATGGACGAGACTACTGAATTCATTCTCGCGTTGTTGTCCTTCCATGGCCTTACGATCACTCGCTTTAAGGAATAGTCTTCTACATAGTGAGAAGACCCAGCACCAACACTACATTCAAGGTTATTGCCAAATGACCTCAGCAATATCCGGTACGACGGCACAACATATACATCACCCAATTAAGCCATGGAGCTAAAATTCATTCCAAAAGACTGTCCTTTTCTTCTACGCCGCCGATCATCTTCGCTCGTCGTCATATCCTATGCTTATTTCACTGTCCACGGTACTCAAACTGTTTGTCAATTTGACCTTACGATATCCCTGCATCTTGTCTTTGGCATTTGTGTAGCTCTACGCGGAGCATCGTGAGAGAGAACGCCAGACAGCAAAATGAGGAAGATGGAAAGGTGAAACAAAAGTTCAGCAGATTCAGTGTGTTGGCTTATCAAGATACTGACGGTGGAGTTAGGATGGATTATATCAGCGAAAAGGAGAGGGGGTCCTGTTTCAGCTGAACAGCTCACGAAGAGTTGTTGGAATGATTGTGACGGAAAGGAAGGAGGATGGGCAAAGATCTAGGATTTGGGGGCTTTCCAGGCGGGATCAAACTGTTGAGGGTCGGACATGCGGAGGCATATGGGTTTCTCATCTTTATGACAAGGATGTTTGTTTGTGGGAAGAAAAAGCTAAGTACCTTCTACGAGGATGATATTTGATCTTGCTGCTAACCCGACACCGCAAGGATACGGCGATCTCGACCGAGATTAAGAACAACGATCTACAAATTCAGGACTGTCACCAATGGCTTTACTGCTGATGCTAGGAGATGATCAACAACGGAATATGTATGTGTGGAATACGCCTCAAAATGATAATATGGCAACACTTACTGACGATCCTCCTACAAAGGGTACCCCCAGGACCATCGCCTTGGCCTTCTTGTTCGTAGTACTCAGCAAGGTGTTTTTGCCGAAGTGCCAAGTATCCACAAGTCCCAACGCCTCTCAAGTATGGCATATAACAAGCTACTGAGCATACCGACGCGGACACAACCTTTACCTTAGGCAAAATACTGGAAGTGTGTTTAGGGATCTTCAAGTCAACCAATACTGTCATACCACACTGCATCCACATGCATCTCGGCTGTCTCTACATTATCCTGTTCATGTCTTCCCTTCAATACTTTTACGTCCTCTGGCAAACCTAGGACCCCCGGGCGCTTCTACAACTCTATCTTTCCCCTCATAGGAATGACCTGCTGCCCCCAAGCCCTTGTCATGTAGATATGGATATACAGATACTAGACAGGCAATGTAAGAATAACCTACCGATACGTACTCCAACTGATGCGAGACAATGATACTGGTCTGTGTCAAAGCTACTGAACTGTAAGAGAACTGACTTGACTTTGACCTTCGCTAATAGGCCAAGAGCTGATGGAAGACCATAATAACAGGAGTTCCATGTTCAGTTCGTACCGTCTCTTTTTGTTCCTTTTCCTTTCTTCACTCTATAGCTGCAATGGAGTCAGTTTATATACTCTGGTTACGTATCTAGACTGCTGAAAGAGCCTTCCACCATTTGTCGTAGCTCAGCCCTTTGCTTCTGACTTATGCCAGCGGGAGATCCTGGTCTTGGTGTCGGTGTCATCTCGTCTACATCAAGCTGTCAACAAGTGTTGGCTGGTTTTCTTTCTTATTCTCTGCCTTCTTGAAAAGAGTGTACGATATGACATCATCATCGTGCACAAGGTAATGACTCAGGTTGTTGAGTTGGGTGCCTCTCAGATGCTCAGTATCACGAGCATACCTGCAACCACCCCTTAAGAAGAAATCTAACTTGATCACTCTTCAAGCAAGGAGTGGTCTGGTGGGATCCTCCCTAATAACCTACTAATTCTTCTATACGAACCTAAAAGTCCTCTCTCCCCATTCGAACACTCCTTGCTTTTTGTCATTTTGCCTGGCACCATACCCACCTACCGACCCCTTATATATCGACTAACCAAAGCCACCATATTGTGACAGAAAAGCCATCCTGAGACAGCAATCTGCCTGCCAGATAATACTAAGAGCAATGATGTCCCCCTTGTCATAAAGGCTGTCTCGGTTGGGCTGTTCTTCTGTGACAGGTGACCCATGACTCTGCTGCCTGGATACTAACTTTGCGTCCAACCTTACCCAGTCAACACTTAGCCACTTAGGCAGAACCAACAAATCCTCCTTTCTCTTCTCTTATATACTAAAACTAGATTCTCAACTCTAACGAAGCAGCTAAACAGGTGGACCAGCCTTATGGTGCAGCGGGAGTGATATCCTGCTCCCACTTCGTTTTTATTTTTTAGCGTCCATGTCGTGGGTTCGAATCTGACACTCCTCGCTGCGATATCCTTCTTTCCTTTCCTTCTCCTTTTTTCTCTTTTCTTTCTTTTCTCGACACCCTATAGCATATCATATCTTTAACGCATTCTCAACTAACGTGCCTTTTCTTGAATTCCAAGGTCGACTCTCGTTGAGTGTCCTCTCTGTCCCATCTGGTCTTCGCGGTACCGTGATGGTGAACGGTGCAGCCGACGCATGACAGTCAAGCTTCTTCAGTCTTATCAAAGTTTACAGATAGGCAGGAAACTTAAATCCGCTGTCTACCTGTACCAGACTCTTATGCCATGATAATAAGACCTTCAATCAGCGAAGTAGCTGTATGATAATAATAATATGGCAGCCGATTCGGCAACGTCGCATTAAAAAGATCGTCGATCCTTCGCTTTTTGCGTTCGAACCCCATTTTCCTTTCAACATGTCATTTTGCCATTCCACTTCTTAACAAGATAAACCCTTAGGTACTTGACTAATATCGAATATTCGGTCTTGACATTCATGTGTGACATGTTCGTGCGCTGTTGGTCCAAACTCCTCATCCTGGTATCTCGGCTTACACCCAGTATACTACTCCACCGATCAAACCAGGCATCCATCTCAAGGGGTTATATACCCTGAAAAAACAATTGGAATTCAGCGAAGTAGCTTGAACAAACCAACTACAGCTTACGCTGCCCACTTCATACTTGGTGTGGTGGTATAACCCATCAACCTTGCTTCGGCAAAAACTCCCTTCGGGGCTTCTCTTCGCTTTTTGTTCGAACACAGTCTTTGGGTGTCTTTCTTTTTTTTGTATTTTTGCGTTCCTTCAAGGATGAAACCCTCTCTTTATGATCTATGCTTGGTATCGATGTGATGTTGGACTGTTCGGTCAGTAGTGTTGCTTGATGATAGGGATCTTGAAGTCGCGATGTAGTCCGACATCACTGCAAGACATTATTGCAACCAGTAGTGCTTATGAAATCGTAATAAGTTCTTCATATTGATACTAAATAATTTAAAAGAAACTGCCTTTATCAACATACATCACAAATGCTGTAGCTTGCGAATAGCCTCCCTGTAAAGCTCATCATGTAAGTCATGGCCAGCATCAGATTCCTCGACTACCCTATGTACCATCACCATCTTTCCCCAGCCTTCCTAGCTCTCAGTCTTCCACTCTCAGCTTGTCAGTCTCCCAAGTTCTGTCCTCAGACACGGGCGCTGCCTGCGCCCTCCTATACCCATGCGTCACTAGTATCCATCCCGGCGAGGTGAGTCAACGCCGGCCTAGCCCCACATCTGACTTACACCAACTAACATGGGATCCCTGCTCTTGTGCAACGACAGGACAAACAAACAGTCCTTCATATATCGCTTTTAATTGACAAGGAATCAGCGAAGTAGCTAAAACCAACCAACGTTGAATATTGAATAACTCAATGCTCTAAATTTGCCTATCCTCAGGGGTAGGCCTTCGCTTTTTGGTGTGGTCGTGAGTTCGAACCAGGTCTGCGCATGACTATCGTCCTTTATTCTTTTTATTCTTTTTCCTTTCTCTATTCTCCATAGCTTCCATAGGTTAAGTGAATATACGCTGGTCGTTTATCCATTTTGTTGAGACAGCCGTCCACCATCTTCCTCCTCCCTCAAGACCTCGGTTCATTGCACTCGTGCCTTGGTCCCCATGCCAAGACACAACAAACTCTACGCACCAAGCACCTATCAACAGCCTTCATCTAAACCTAAACTACGGCCATATCCTAGGATAAATAGTCAAATACGTCCATTCCCTTCAGCGAAGTAGCTACACCTGGAATCACTGGAAAGATTTCCTCCCGGTTGGGAGCCTTCGCTTGTAGGTAGAGGTCGTGGGTTCGAACAAAAAAAAAGACAAAAGAGAAAAAATAAGGTTCAAGCATATCGGAGCATCTCCAAGATATCGGAGATCTACTAACATCTACAGCATATACTAACATGAATGCCATTTAATATACCATCTCTATAATTTTGCTTCACGTTTCAATTTATTTAAACATTTAGCATAGATCATCAATCCAATATTGTCTTGTACCTTTTTTATTTCCCCTTCTCTCCCCATTCCTAGGTGTTTTCCATGCTTCCTCTTATGTCTGTCTGCCATGGTCGCACAGCCCGCCCCCCATGTCGTTCAAATGACCTGCACTCCACCACCAATAGACAGACTCCACATCACCACGTCGATCACCCCCTCCACCCCGATTCAATGCATGCCTTCAGATATAAGCCATGCTAGAAGCGTTCATTGTCAGCGAAGTAGCTACACTAACACCTCAATGGAGAACTTTTGGCGGAGTGGTGAGTTCGCTCCTACTCTGCCGCCCCTTCCCACTAGGGAAGGGGGCTTCTTCGCTTTTGCCCATCCATGGTTCGATCCGCCGTTTCGTTCCTTTTTTGCTCTTTATCATGTCTTTTCATCCATCATTCTCAGACATCACCAGAACTGAGTTTGGTGTTTGCCCACATCATTTCCATCATGTTCATCTGTGTCCCGTGACGTCGTGTGGCTGATGCCTGATGTTTGTTCACAAATGAGAAGCAAACCACACCTTATCGAGAAAGACATATTTACGAAAGCAACCTATCATTGCCCATAGTGACAAACCTTCACGAGATATGGAAACTTCTAGGATTCTCATGCCAGCTAGAACATTTCCATTTACAACACGGCATCATATTCAGTTCACCTCATTTCAATCACAGACACACTTAGTAGTAGCAATTTGTTTCATTCAGCTACCTGATCAAAGCAAGCATCTAGTCCAATCTTGGAGTTGAACTATCCGAAACTCCAGTTCCAACCTGGAACAAAACCCTATACCCTAAAAATGAAAAAGAACAAACTCAAAAGGATTCATAGGAATCAGTGAGCAGACAATGCTCGGGTATTTCGCAATTTACGCATAAGGCGGCGCCTCTTCGTCGTCCTAAGAGAAGCGGGCAATGGCCGCGCAGAAGTTGTTGCGGTTGTCCTTGTCCAAGACAGCAGACTTGCCGTCAACATTGACCATGTTGACACTGGCCTTGGTGCTGATACCGTAAAGGTGCAGCTTGGAGCTCTCAATGCTGATCATGTTGTCTTGGCAGTTGTTCTCGCCGACACAGACCTGGTCGTAGTTGTCGAAGAAGCTGTAAAGACCACCACCATAGATGAAGACATCCTTGGAGTTGACAGCGCGGACACCCCAGGTACGGGCACATCGCTTCGAGTCGCCAGTGCAGGTAGCCTTGAAGTCGGGGTCATGGTACTTCTCGTTGACAGTGAAGGGAACAGTGGCGTCAGGGTTACCCTGCATGTAGGCAGTCTCGGTCTGGATGAGGGACATGTAGACGTTGGAAGCGTCCTGGAGGTGGTAGTTGTACAGGACACTGTGCTCGGAAGCAGTACCCCACAGCCAGGCACCCTTGGTGCTCTCAATCAAAACACCACGGCCGTTGTAGAGGTTGATCTGAGAGTGGTCACCGCGGTCGAGCTCGTGGTCGGCAACCCAAAACCAGGTGTTCTCGAGGTAGCAGCTTGACTCCTTGGTCATGTGGAAGAGCATGAAAGCGGCAAGGCACTCAGGCTTGGGGTCGGCCTTGACCTTGGGGTTCTTGGCGCAGGTGTCGGACTGGAGCTGGGTACCAGCAGAGCCACCAACGCGGAAGTGGACGTCAAAGAGACCAGCAGAGCCGGGAGTCTCACCAGCAACGTTGAACTCCATGAGGATGGCACCAGGCTGAGGTCCGACGGTCTCGAACATGAGGTCCTGGATCTCGACGTTGCCAACATCACCAGCCTCACCAACTTGCCAGAGAGGCTTGGGGTTGGCTTGGTCCTTGAAGTTCTTGTCACCTCCAGCCATGATTAGGGGCCAGATCTCGCCGACGATCTTGATGTTCTTGGGGACCTTGACAGTGTCGGTGAAGATGTAAGCACCATGGTCGAAGTAAACGATTTGTCCTTCCTGGATACCGTCAAAGACAGCCTGGATAGCAGCGGTATCGTCAGTCTTGCCATCACCCTTGGCACCCTTGGACTTGACGGAGACAAAGTTGGAGGCGGGAACACCCTCGTACTGGGGCTTGCTCTTGGTGACAACGTTGCCATTGCTGTCAAGGATAGCCTTGGGCTTCTCAACGGGGGTCTGAGTGGCTTGGATAGCCTTGCCGTTACCACCAGTGTAGGCACGTCCTTGAACGAAAGACTCGATCTTGGCGTTACCGGGAAGGATGGTAGCGTCAGTACCGCCATTCTTGACAGCGACGGGGACGGAGGTCATGTCGACGTTGTCGATGATAAGAGTACCGTTGGTGCTGGTTTGGCCAGGGTTGTAGTTGGACAGAACACCAACCTCGGTGTTGGCAATCTTGCTGTCAGTCAAAAGGATGGAGCCAACGTTCTGGATGCCTCCACCGGCAGTCATGTCGATACCGACCTTGGCGCCAGAAATGTCAAGGCCGTTGAGAGTCCACACCCAGTTCCAGTTCATGTAAATAGCAGTGTTGCAGTTGCGGAAAGTCATGTTGCGGCTGGTGAATTGCTGGCTACCGAAGAAACCACCATACTTGCCACCAATGAAGGTAAGGTCGGTCATGAAACCACCAGAGCCGTTGTCAATGAAGATACCCTGCTGCTTGTTGTCCTCGCTAGGGTCCTCGATCATCTGGAAGACAATATTCTGGAGGGAGGTAGCTTGAGCAACCTGCCAGTGGATACCGGTACCGGAGCTCTTGGGCATACCAGTCAGGTCGATCTTGAAGTTGCGAATCTGGCGGAAGAAGTTGTTCTGGTTGGTGTGCCAGTTGGAACCGTCGTTGTTGTAAGGGTCGACATCGATGACAGCCATACCTTCGAAGTTGGCGGAGGGCTTCAGGACGGGGAGGTTGCTGAGATCACCCACCATGTGGGTGTAGTAGTAGGGAAGAAGGGGCTTCGAGACAACGTAGGTGCCGGGAGGGAAGTAAACAAGAGCGGGAGTAACAGTCTGAGAATCACAACCCTTGCCGCAGCGGTTGCCGTCAGAGAAAGCAGAGTTGATGGCTTCGGTGTCATCAGAGCTTCCATCACCCTTGGCGCCGTAATCCTTGACATTGCGGAAGATCTTGTAGTTGGGAGAGTTACCAAAGGCAACCTGACCCTGACGCTTGATGGAAGAGAGCCACCAAGAGCCGGCATCAGCTGCGGGAGAGACAGGAGCACTGTACTCAGGAGCTGCCGCTGCAGGAACAGAGACCTCGGCAACAGGGACTGCAGCTTGAGGTGCAGCCGAAGCCGGGAGAGTAAAGAGGCGCATGGCCAAAAGGGAGGCGGTGACAACAGTCGAGAGCCCCATGATGACGATGAAGAACCAGCTAAATCGTTGCCTTTGAGGTGTCGAGTAGTGGTATCGCTCTAGGATGAGTGGTGTTGATATCTCAGCGGAATGCTGTCAAAGGAGAGCGGTTAGCTTTCTGCTTGTGCAGCTTCAAATTTGTTGTTTTTTGCAGAAGAAAGTTTGTAAAAGAAAGAAAGAAAGGTTTGTGGGAAAGGTAAGTATCAAGCTTCGTGAAGCTATCAACCTTTGGGGTGCGTGATATTGATCAAGGTTTGGGAGAACAATGAACAACACAATAGAAGGAGAGGTTGAAAGAGTGAAGAGAACGGATGAAAATAACAAAGAACAATAGCAACGGTATGACGTGAATGAGAGTGGTTGTTGCGGTGGGTGAAGCTGGGCTGCCAGCTGGTGACAGTCCTTGACAGTGCCAGTGAAGAAGATCGGCCGGCAGTGCCACATCATGAAAGCAGGCCAAGGCCTCTTCTTATCTGTATGGCCACTGGCCTTTTACAGCTGGCCGGCACTGCTCAAAGCGGTACATGGGATGAAAGGGCTTGGAGTGGTTTCGGTCCCTTGTTTCTGGTTGCATATGGAGGCTTGTCACTTATGAAACTTACCACGAAACAGGTCAAAGAAGTCTAGGACCTGAACCAATGTATGGCGAAAAGAACGAGATATTCAAAAGGGAGGCGCACTCTTTAAATTGGTGGTAATTGCACACTTGGCAAAAAGAAAAGAAGACCCAAAAAGAAAGAGGGTGGTGATCAAAGCAATGACGCTGTACCAGACATGCAAGTGAATGTAAAAAGGGAGAGACAGGGAGAGACACGCGAGGCGCGTGTTCACACGATAAAGAGTGTCGTGATGGTGTGCGGTGTGGTGGTTGAGGTAGCAAAATGAGAGACAAGTGCAGGTGTTTTGACCTTATATGTGACTCGGGACTAATAATGAATGACTTCTTTTTGGGCTCACCTTGTCATTGCTTTTGGGGCCATCGCCTCTACCATGGACAGGGATCTCATCGTAGTAACCCTCGACGGATGGCATCCGCCGTCTCTGCGTCCGCGAGCCAGCCATTGCGGTGGAGTTCTCAATGGTGTAGTCGTTCAAGGGGTCTGGAGAGATCACCATTGGCTATGGGATCCTCACGGCTTGTTTCAAACACGGCCGGTAGTGGTCCAAGCGAGCGGATGGAGGATCTGGGTTGCTGTGATTTGAGGATGAAGGATGAAACAAATATATTCCGAGCTATACAGTAGCGTTTATGCTGAATTGACGATGGCGAATGTTTAGGTACTGGCGAAGATGAAGAGACGCGAGATAGACGAGCGATGAACGACAAAAGCAAAGGAGATTGATGTGCCTTCCCAATGTAACCCCCAACCTACATCACCTGAAAAGGAAAGTGCAATAGAGCCTCCGAAGAGAGTCTAGCGCTCAATAGTTATAGGTGACTACTCGCTACTCTCCACTAGTCCCTGGGCTAATGGGTTAAAGCCAGCGGGTGGCTTCACGCCAGATCCTTAGTGGATCAAAAGAGCCGGGGCATCTGCTCTCGCTCTTGCTCTCTGTAGCAGACAAGAACAAAAGCTCCTTCTCCATTCAGATTCGGCCATCATAAGGCTCGTTCACAAGACCCCAGCGTATCTTCCATCGAACACACAGTCGGGTGCCTTGCATCGCAGATCAGCATTCACGTTCACCATGTGGCATCCAATACAGAGTAGAGTTTACGCTTGATCTCCACAGATAATGCCTTCATCATTCCTCCGGAGCCCTCTCTTTTTTTTTTTTTTTTT